ATTCCTCTATCTAATGAGAATATCAAAATAAAAATACATTGTATTGGTATGCCAGTTGTATGTCTTCTCAGAAATGATTTCCAGAAACGACAGTGTCCAAAACAATTTGTTCCGAAACAATATCGTGATAAAATATGTCCCCCAATCTCCTCTTTCGATTGGTGAAAGCCGCAGGTCGCTAGCTTTTGCCATTGTTGAGTTATTCAATTGACACCAACCCCTCTTTAATTCTGGCGCGGACATTAGTTTAATATCTATCTCTTTTATTGTGGAACAAATTATTCATCATATAATTCCATATAAATCTATCTCTTCATATTATTTTATGATTACCGATGTGACTGCATTGGCATAGATGATGAAAGAGACTATATCCAAATATGTTTTAACATTTATCATGAGGAATGCACCAAATCAATTTTCAATTAAACCTAATTCTTAGATTTGACTGGATTTGATTGTTCTAGAATTGTTAATAGTCAACATATTTAAATAAATTATTAATTTGATACTAATTTTGTTAAGAACAAGTTTAAGCCAAGAATAGAATTCGACATTGGTACATCTCTATTTATGATAGAGTTAAACCCTGTTTCTTTTATCCAATTTCGTTTGTATCTATCTCCTCGTTAGAAACATCAACGAGTACTTCAATGATTTTCATCATCATTGCCATTTTCAAATACAATGAGATATATTGATCACGTTGTTTGGTATAATATATCAATATTAAAGCATATCTTTTATTTTATATACATATATTTTGAATAAACTAGAAAAAAAAAACTAATAATACTTAGAGGAAAACATGATGAAAAGAAAGAATATCTGAACTATATTTACAAAAGAGAACGTTGAAAAAATACCTTAAAGCAAACTGTTATTTACATTAGAATGTTTTCATGAAAAAAATTAAAATGATTACTTATGTAAAAGTATTTCTTATTTGATGAGTAAATGAATTTGTAAATGTGTAAACTGTATTAATTACTAATACTTTAATATTAACATAGAACTAGTTATTTAATTTTCTGAACAAATTTTATACTAATAGCTTAATCTATTTACTGATGATTTGTATATAATACTGAGTATTTACGAAAAAATACTAAGCTTTTAATTTGTTCCCTTTTTATTACTAATCATAAGATGAAAGATAGATTGTTGAATATCTAAAATTGAAACAATTCTTCAAACAGAATGAAAACAGTTGTGTTTGAAACCTATGGGTATGGGTGTGGGTCTTCTCTTCATACATATCTACTCTTGTCGAAGATAATTAGTATTCGAATTTAATTGCTGATGTTTGTCATTGATAGTTTCATCAATGACAAAAGCTTGTTCCCAGTAATGTAGAACATGGAAAAGCAAGGATTTAAAAGTAAAGAAGAATTTCAAGTAGTGTAATCTTCTTGACGTGGGTTCGGGTGATGCAAAGATCCATACTCGTACCTAAAATACATTTTATTCAAAACAGAAATCAGTACAGCTTGCCTTTCAATCTATTTTAAGTTACTCTTTTTTTTTTCTATTGATGTCTATCATATATGCGGTTCCACATATTTTGTTGAATTTATTGGCAAGATATTCTATCCATTATCTGTAATTCTATCATTTGGAAGAAGAACGTTTTTATTCATTTATGAACAAAGATAAGAATCTAACAAGTGTTTGTGTATGATGTCCAATATAATTGGAAATAACTCGATCTTATCATTGAATTTTCATGATAACAGCGACAACAGTGTTACTGGAAAAATGTTTACTACAGATATATATCTTAGTTTATCCTTCTTTCAAATGATCAATGTTCGAACAGTACATTCTATTTTCGATAGTTACCATTCACTACTCAATCGACGTCAACACTTGCAACAATCATATTGTAGGAGCCTGTGTTTTTTACATCTTCTGGCAAGCTTATACGGTCGATAGTGCCAAGATAAATGATATCAGGTGATGCTTCTTCAAAAACAAAGTTCCTCGATTTCTAGTCAGAAATTTATTCATGAAGGTTGTTTACAGAGTTTTGAAGAGACTTCAATAAAGAAATGTTGATTAAGTCATTTCGAAAAATCTTCTGAGCAGCTATATTAAAGTAATCGTGAGTTGCAATCAAAAAAAGAAAAACCTGAATTTTGATGGATCCTAAGATTTGTTAGAATCTATCAGGATCCATTATACTATTCATTAGCTGAGATTCGATTGTGATACGATGAGTTTTGATATATTTTGATGCAATCAATGGTTCATACTATTCATCAAGATCTATTTTTTCTATATTCATTTTAAATTATCATGAAGGTCGATGATTTCTATTGAATTCTAGTGGACTTCAATAAATTCTAATGAGTACTGTTGAATTTTTCTTAGGAAAAATCTCTGCTGTTTCCGAGCTAGACCTCTGACATATTGAACAAGAGTCATATACAGATTCATCGTTTTCTATTAAGCAAACAAAAGAATACTGAGAAAACCGTGTAACCATGGAATATCAAAGATTTTGCTAGGAGTAGAATACGATCTTAAAAGTACGATAAGGCCTTTTCCATTGATTTTAAATGAGAATCTTGACGGAATAGCGATGGTTTCTTATTGAAAAAATAATTTGCGATTGCACGTCGTAGGACTTTCTCAGAAGAATAGAGAAGACGTATACAAATGGAGTATTGAACTCAGAATCTTTGTGAACACATAGATTAGCTTAGTATGTTAGGCGGTTTTGTTTATGCTTAAATTTTACACTAAAGTGTGGATGAGCATGGATATAAAGTGTGGACGCTAGTGTTAAGGGAGGCTCAGATGTTGGTTTATGTGACGATGGATATGGAGGCACAGGTGTGAACGTAAGTGTGGATGTGATGGAGCTAAAGAGAAGCAGTACATCTCACACCTACACTCGACCACATCATCGCTCACACTTATACCTACATAATTTTGCGCGGAAACGTCTTTGGATGTAGCTGTCATGTGCAAAAGAGCTGAAGCGAAAAGATCATGGGCTGAATTGTTCTGTCACGCAGAGCCGGGATGCTGCAACAAGCGATAGTGATCTCGTATGCATCAAATGAATTTCATATTGTCATTTTCGAATAGTCTTATCTTTTGTTGAAGCTAACATTGTATGTAATGAGTAAGGCGATTTCTAAAAGTAATTCATTGAAAATATTTCAAAATATTGTGAGTTTGAACATAGTACGAAACATTCTCCTCTACGCGCAATATACTGACACACCATAGTTTTTGTATCGTTCATAGAACGTGTTATTCGATCGCACATGGTGGAACAAACAAACTAATAAGCAAAGACAAAAGAATGAACATTATACGAGATTCAATGTGACCAATGATTATTGAAGAGAATCTTTATTTGAAATTTTCAACTGGAATAAATCATACAAAGTCAAAACAGACATTAGTTTTTTTCTGGGGAAAGAAATGGCAGTGGTCAGTTTAAGGAGAAGAGTAATTGGAGAAAAAATAAAGAAAAACAAATCTGTTCGAGAAGAGTCGTTATCTTGATTCATTGTTCTATACGAGTGAAGAGACGTGCCACTAGACCACCAAGAACGATAGCAGGGATAACAACCAGGTGTTGTCCTTGATTCGTAGCAGTAGTGGTTGCTGTTGTTGTTACCGATTTCGTAGTTGATGCTTTTGTCGACGTAGGAACTTCTGATGTTATCGAGATACTGGTGCCCTCCATATCATATGTCGAGTTTTGATCTTGACATTCTATGTTCGACAGCAATAACAAGCTGATAAGTATCATTATGAGAACATTTCGTGTCATTGCCACTCCAATTGAATTATTTCGATGCATATGCTACACTATCTAATAAATCGAAATCGGCTTGTTTAACAGAGAGAATTCCCAAACTCTCCAAAATCAATAAATTATGAACATAATTACATTTCCTGAATAATTTTGATATATTGTCAAATATTTTACTTCCACATAAAATAATCAATTATAAACAACGAATCATCCTCTGAAATCATTTATGTATGGATGGTGCTTCGTGATTTATAAAAGATCATTTCATGTTGGAGCCAAATTTTATCAATATCTCACAATTACCAAGAGAGGGACCTTATGTATCAAGAAAATTTACTGATTCTAGGATATCTGGAATTGTTGAAGAAGGAAGAATGAAGTAACTAAAGATCAGCCGCAATCAAATAATATTTCGTTAGTTTTTAGCCGCTGATACGCTACTTATGTAGAAGATTCGACAAGTTTTTTTTGCAAAGAGTTGCAGCATATGGTTTCAATAATATAAGTATAAGTTTTTACCAAATGAAAACTCCTCAAAAACAGAATCTAGGAATACTAGTAGTCACTTATAAAAACGCGATGCAATTTATATTTAAA